CTCCTCAGCCACTTGGATGAAAGGAACACCAGCTTCAAGAAAGGTTTGCCCACTCGGAAAAACAAAGTAGAATAGTGGTTGCCAGGGGTGAGGAGGAGGTGGGAAAGGAAGTTGTTCAATGGATAGGGGTTTCGTTTTGCAAGATGAAAAAGTTCTAGAGATCGACAGTGCAATGATGCACACATATCAACACTGGTGTACTGTACACTTAAATGGTTAAGATGGTAAATTTTGTTATGTACTTTTTACCATTTTTTTTAAAAGCTTGGTTTGCTCATTAGGCCTTATCACATGCCTAGCACTGAGGCTGGCTCATACTAGGCCTTTGATTAACACTTATGAATTGAATCAAAGGCAGTACAATTAGGTCAGGGAGGAGAGTCAGTACATTGTGGGTTATGGGGTCTGTGATGACAACTGAAATGACAGAATTGTATTTCTAAGTCATCCAGCCTCTGGATATCCTGTGATCCAAGGACAAGGGTTACAGAAACTCTGGTACTCTTCTCCTTTCTTTCTGTCCTTTTCAGGTCCTTGCTTTGAGTACATTTTACAATCTCTGCCTCTCTATTGACCCAATTTGTATCCCTGCTCTTTCAAGGCTCAACTCAATTCTTCTCTCCTCCATATGGCCTTTCCTGACCACCACAACCTGCAAAGGTCTTCCTCTAACAGGAGTTCACAGATCCCACTGCTAGTACTGGTCAGCTATCGATAAGCTGTGTTAAGCCATCTCTTGAACTTATTCCATCCTTTGAGAACAAAGGCCCTTTATCACACTTCTCTACTCCTCAAATGCCTAGCATAATCTGAAGCACAGAGCAGGTGCTAAATGCTAAAATACTGATAGGTGAATGAAGGCTGAAGAAAGCAAGGGTGGGGCAACCATTTATTTGCTTTCCCATGGGATATTTCAAAGTCACAAAATTGGTCATGAATGTGACTAAAAGCTTAAGGAATCAGGCACTCAGAGAAGGTTTTGACTTGAATCCTAAATTGTGACTACGTACTCTAGATATTCAGAGCTCTAGAGAATCTTCCGTAAAATTCTACCATGAAGTCCTTCCTCTCTTGTCTATTAGGAAATCAGAGCTGATATAAATCAATATGTCACAGCATTTGTAAACCAAAACAAATACTGAATAGCTTAAAAAGAGCTCAAGATCCTCAATGGGCATTTTCAAAGGTCTGATGGCATCAGGAACAAGGAAAGTATAAGGTACTTACTACTAAAGGAACTATGCCAGTGATTCTTAAAATTTGGAGGGCGGTGGGGAGATGTCAAAGACTGGTTAAGAATTTTAAGAAAGATGGACTTTTTTTTTTTTTTAAAGATTTAATTAAAAAAAAACTTTTTTTTTTTTTTAATTTTTTTTCAACGTTTATTTATTTTTGGGACAGAGAAGAGCAGTGTGGGGGGAGGGGCAGAGAGAGAGGAGACACAGAATCGAAACAGGCTCCAGGCCTCGGGTATCAGCCAGAGCCTGACGCAGGCTTAACCACGACTCATGCAGCACGATCTGGCTGGTCAGATCGCCAACTCGTGACAATGCCACCCAGGCGACTCTTAAAAAAAAAAAAAAACTTTTAAAAGTAATCTCTACACATGGGGCTCGAACCTATAATCCCCAAGATCAAGAGTCACACATTCCACCAACTGAGCCAGCCAGACACCCCAAAATGGACCCTCTTTAAGAAAAAAAAAAAACAAAAAACGGGCACCTTTTGTATGTTTAGTTGGTTGAGCGTCTTACTTCGTCTCAGGTCATGATCTCATGGTCTGAGTCTGAGCTCCACATTGGGCTCGCTACTGTCAGCCTGTCAGCGCAGAACCCACTTTGGATCCCCTGTCCCCCTCTCTACTATTTCCACGTTTGAGCTCTCCCAGAAATAAACAGATATTTAAAAAAAAAAAAAAAGTACATATATAGAGAGAGAAAGTAAAACAGTGGTTACAGGGGTGGGGGGAGGAGAAACGGGCAGATGGTGTTTAATGGGCATGGGGTTTCAGTATGAAATGATGAAAAAGTTCTGGAGGTGGACGGTGGTGATGGCTGCACAAAGATGTGAATGTACTTAGTGCCACTGAACTCTACACTTAAAAATGGTTAAAATGGTAAATTTTACGTATATTTTATCATATACATGAAAAGGAGTCAAAACGAACAAGCTTCACCATCAACCTTGGACAAATGTGACATGTGTATAAAGTTATAACAATGCATGCAGTTTATCACACTAGATAATGAACAACTATTCTGTCACACTGAGGGTACTGACTGATTAAAAAGCTCGGCCCTCCATGAAGCCAATGAGAAGTAACAGAAAAATGTCATGTATCTTCTGGAAATCTGAAAAGAAGCTCCAGTGTCAGAAAATGGGCTTTGTTCAGTAAGCAATAATGAATTTACAAATATCAGTTTGAAATGCCTCAAACAGAGGCTGGAATGTGTCTGGATGCTGTCGGAACTCAAAAATTCACAAATCTCTTGCCAGAAGAAGATGGCAGGCTGGGCAGGCAGATCTATCAAAGAGACTTCTCTTGTCTGCTGTCTTACTAAGTGCTATAAATTCCAGTTAACACCTATCCATAGTCTTCAGGGTTTCTTTTTTTTTTTTTTAGGGGTACTTTATTTATTTATTTACTTACTTACTTACTTACTTACTGTTTATTTATTTTTGATAGAACACAAGGGGAGAGAAGAAGAGAGAGAGGGAGAGACAGAATCTGAAGCAGGCTCCAGGCTCTGAGCTGTCAGCACAGAGCCTGACATGGAGCTCGAACTCACAAACCATGAGATGACGACCTGAGCTGAAGTCGGTCGCCCAACCGACTGAGCCACCCAGGTGGCCCCTAGGAGTGCTTTAGAATCTACTTGGGGATTAATTTCCTGCTTTTTTTCTCTCTACTTAGTTTGCTGCTAACAACTACAGGGCCCAAATGGATCCCATAGCCAGCTCTTTGGGAAGCTGTGAATACACTTAACATTAAGTGATAGTAGCCATTTATATGTTCAGAAGTGGAGGGGGAGAAGTGCTCCAACACATGTTGGAGATTAACAAGGCGGTCAAATACTTCTAATCTGATAGTGCTAAGAATAAAACCAAGTGCACCCTAATGCTGTCATTTAGAGCCCTTCAAAGTCAGCTAGGGAAGAGAAGCAACAACTATTTTAAGGGCAGTTTTGAAAAGGGTCCTAGAATAGCAACACCCTTCCCCCACTCCCAAAGTGAAAAGGATTGCTAAGAGAGCTAGTGTACAAAACTCTGTGACAGCAAGGACTACACTTAGATTATTCACCATGGATCCTCACTATACAGCACCACACCTTGCAAACGGCAGGCATGTAATTACTTGTTCACTAAGTAAATCTTTCAGAGCCGTTATCTCTTCTCCATTCTTGAATAGGACTGTGTACTCTCCCTCCCCACAGAAATCACCTCATCTCTGGCTTGTGGACTCTTTCTGAGAGGCACTTTCATCACTTCATTTAACTTTGAGAGAAGTTGGAGGAGGGTGAGGACACGTGCTTGCTAATCATCCTTTTCCAGATTGCCTCGTGCGCCAGAATGGATTTTTATTATTGGTCTGTGGCTGCTACTGCTGTAGAAAGATTTCAGCCTGACCTTCCCAAGCTGCTGGGGAATGAATACTGCACGTGGCTGACAGGGAAAATGTGCCTTCCTTTTTTCTTTTCTTTTTTTTTTTTTTAAAGCTTTTAGACTAACCAGAGCTCACTGTGGTAGGAAAGTCACCCTTTCTCTTATTATACAAAACTCAGGATGTTGAATTCTTTTGCATAAAAATGATATAGTAAAACCAATCTGAACTGGTCCAACAGGGAAAAGGTAGCATCTTGAAGTACCTCACAGAAAGCAGTGGCATCAAAGAACAGGACTTGGGGAAAAAAGAAAATGAAAGCTATTTACAAAAGCAGTTTAAATAAGAGGATGGATTCTCACAGCTGGCCTCACAAAAGAGAACAAATATGTCAAAGGGAACAACAGACTAATAGAATCCTATCCATCTGGCTGAGGAAAGAGCCACTGGTGAGAATACTGAGAGGCCTGTTAGGGACAAGGCTTGCCTGGTGCCTCACTGAGCTGGCTGAATAGCTTTTAGGAACACTGGAACACTCGCTCATACCACTGCTGGTTGGCTCTTCTAGCAAAAGATTCAGAGAAGGGTTTCACCGATATACTGGCAAAAAAGGGAGAGCATATTTTATTGGTTTGGAACTTATACCTTTACTCTCGACTCATGACTACCCCGGCCCTCCAGCTGGGGAGTCAGGTAGGAAAGAAAGGAGACTGTGTAAATGGGATGTCTCAGTTGGTGCTTTTAAAAACAGAACTCAAGAGTCTCATTCTGAAACATCAAGTTCAATCCCATGCCACGCTAAAGCCCCATCTGTACTTTTATATAATGCAGAGCCGAGTGCAGGCACTTAGGGAGAAGGGGAAATCAGGCCAGACTCAAGGAAAACAAACACATAATGCTATCTGCATCTCCAACTCAGTCCATACCACAGAAAAACCTGCTCAGAAATAACTGCTCAAGGCAAATAGAACTCAATTACTAAGGAAAATCTGCCCCAATGAGGGCTCATATTTTAACAAGCCAAATAGCATCAAATTAAGCTGAACTCAGGGTTTTTCTAATTGGCAGTTTTATCCATTTCTAAGTTCTCATTTCTTATTTTTAAAAATAAAAATGACTCTCTGCCTAAAATTAAAAAAAGAAATGCCTATCACCCACTCTAAAATAATAATTCACCGAATTTTCACCTACATATCTTCTATACAATTAATGAACCCCTTACATGGCACAAAAGCAGAAGCCAGCACTCTATTTAAAGTACTATCAACAAATCCCTTACTAATTGCTCTTAGCAGCCTGGCTCCTGCCACCAGATGCTCAGTCACAGAATACCTCTGCTATCAAAGAGAGGACAACTGCTTGATCCCTGCCACCAACTCTGGGGAGGGTTGTGGCTTACCTGCTCCTCTGACAGTTGGGATATGTGATTCACAGCAGCATAGGATTCAATTTTGGGGTTAAAGTGATTGATGATGGCCCTGAAAAAAAGAATTAACATTAATATGGCATCAGATGGAAGAAGCAGATAAATAAGTTAAAAATAAGTACCAAGTACCCTCTGGTTTAGAGTGTGAGTACGTGGGAGTGATTGTCAGAGAGTAACTATCTTTTTATTGACCATGAGGTCACATGGTGGGGAACGGATAACTCTGAAATGAGAAGTGTTTACAACTTATTAAAGAGGAGAATCAAGTATCTCTGTTCTGCAAATGAACCAGGGGGAAAATCTCATAACCAAACAAAAAACAAAACCAAGCCTCCTTCAGGCAAGAAACAAGACCCAGGGGGCTCTCCACTAGGGGGCCCTGATGTTTCAGTCAGAAAGAAAAGTAGTTTTCTCTGCTCTGACTTAGGAGAACAGGGCACTTGGTAAAGCTGGACCAACATGTAGGCTAAATACAATCTCTGAAGAAGCTGAGCTTTATCAAAGCCTAGAATCAACCTTCATACTTGTTAGTTAATAATTTCAAACCATAATGTTATTTCCAGCCATTCAAAATCTGAGTGTCATTTTCAAACACTTCCTTTCCATCACCTTCACATTCAAGGTCACCAAGTCTTATCAAATATAGTTCTTAAAAATCTCTGAAATCTGGGGGCGCCTGGGAGGCTCAGTCGGTTGAGTGTCCGACTCTTGATTTCGCTCAAATCGTCCCAAGTGGTAGGATTCGACCACATTGGGAGCCCCCATGGGGAGCTCCCACTGGTATGGGATTTGCTTAAGATTCTCTCCCCCTGCCCCTCTCTCCCCCCATGAGTGCTCTCTCTTAAAAAAAAAAAAATCTGCCATCTGAAATAAATAAAGTTCCATGAAACCAATACTTCGGTGTATATACAGGTCCTTGTCACTTCTTATCTCGTGTAGCAGAAAAAGCACAGGTTTCAGATCAGAGTTTAGCATAAGTCCAAATTGATACAAAAATGATTAAATAAATGGGAAGAGATGAATCTTTCTTTCTTTTTTTTTTAGAGACACAGCATGAGCAGGGGAGAGGGGCAGGAGAAGAGGGGGAGGGAGAGAGACACAGAGAGAGAATCTTTTTTTTTTTTTTTGTGGTATTTGACTCAGTGGTTTCCATACAACACCCGGTCCTCCCAGGTGCCCTCTCCATACCCATCACCCACCTCCTCCTCCCACCCCCATCAACCCTCAGTTTTGTTCTAGGTTTTTAACAGTCTCTTATGCTTTGGCTCTCTCCTCTAGCCCTCTTTTTTTCCTTCCTCCCCATGGGTTTCATTTAGGATTTCATTCACATGAAAGTGAAACCATATGGTATCTGTCTTTCCAGAGAGAGAATCTTAAGCAGGCTCCACACTTAGCACAGAGCCCAACACAGGGTTCGATCCCACAACCCTGGGATCATGACCCGAGACAAATCTTTCTAACAGAACAATTTCAAATAGTATGTGTGGATACTCTCCCCTTTAGGAGTTGGAGTTAGGTTCCCATTCCCACTGAGAGTAGGCTAGACTTAGTGACTTATTTCCAAAGAATAAAATAGAGTAGTAAGAGAGGAAAATGGTAACTTTACAGTAAAGAATCTTGGAAAATACTGTATTATTAGCCAAGTGAAGACGGTGAACATTCATGTGGCATGAATCTAGTATTCACGTAACCTTTGGTATGATCTTTTGAGAAGGGCACTTTGCTTCTGTTATATACTTCCAAAATCCATAACCTCAATCTAATCATGAGAAAAACATGAGATAAAACCAGGCTGGGGGCATTCTACAGAATACCTGGCCAGTACTCCTTAAGACTGTCAAGGTCATGAAAAACTATACTTGAGGAATTGTCACAGACCAGAGGATCTTGAGAAGACATGACAACTAAATGCAACATGATACCCTAAACAGGACCCTGGAACAGAAAGAGAATATTAATGGATAAACTGGTGAAATCCAAATAAAATACGGAGCTTAGTTAACAGTAATGTACCATTGCCAGTTTCTTAGTGTTGAATAAATGTACCATGGTAATGGAAGATGCAGGAAACCTGGTTAAGGAGCATGTAAGAACTCTATGTATTATCTTTGTACTTTTTCTATAATTCTAAAATTATTCCAAAATAAAAACTTTATTAAAATTTGTGTGCATGTGCACCTGCACATGCATGTGAATGTATGGTAGCACAATTGAAATCAATATATTCTTTTAATATAATTTACTGATAGTATAAAATTCTTGAACCATTTAATCTAATATGGGTAATGAAAGTATAAGCCAAAGCTTAAATAAAAAAAATCATGGTTTGGCCATTTGTTATTTTGGGTTTTTGGGATGCTATATGTCTCAGAGGAAAAAAAGTGGGAATAACACCTACCTTAGCACTTAGTACAGTACCCAGGAATAGTACATTGTAGGCATAAAATAAATGTTTGTCGAAAGAGTGACTAAATCTTAAGAGGATTCTTGCAACATTTATATAATAAAGCAATGTCAAACATCTACCACAGTGCCTGGCACACAGCTGGTACTCAATAAATATTCAATGAATGAATACATCAAACAGGACAGTAATGGGTCAGGAACAGAGTAAAATTCTGGTAACTTGTTTTTCCAGAGACTACCAAAAAGGGTAGAGATGTTATGTGCAAGTTAAGGTTGTAGCTTGGTCTAAATACAAAGTGGGAAAGAATTTGGACCAAGTAGGGGTCAAATAATTTTCTCATCCAGAAGGTGAAATTTTGAGGATATTGGCAGGGATGACAACAGTCCAGGAGCAGAAAAGGAAAACCAGGAGCCTAAATGCAATGAGAAGACAAGGGAGGAGGTTTAGAGAAGAATTGAGAATCCCACCAAACCTAGCAGCAGTACCAAGTTAAAGTTAATCCAGTGTAGAGTGTGATCATAGGGTCTAGCATCCAAGAGCTAGGATTAAGAAAATAAAACAAGGATTAAGAAAATAAAACACGGTAACCAAATCAATCTACTGATAAATCTTAGTTATTTTAGGAAAAAGAATTTGAATTCTGTAAATACATTCATTTCACGGTTTTATAGTGGTCTTTTTTTTTCTTCAGGTTTTCCTTAAATTTCTCAGTAAAATTTTTTTGAAAAAAATGTTTAAAAAAAACCTGACTCAACTGAACTAACTAGGGTTGTTTGTTTTTGTTTGCCTAGGTTTGGAGAACAGAGAACTCCAAAGTATTCTAGTGTCCGTCTGAGTGGGAGAGTAGCAGCCATGGGGGCCCAGTTGGCAACCCAATGAAGCTGGTAAGGTCTGGACAATGAAATAATCCCTGGGAATGAAACTGATGGGGATGCTGTAATTCTGTTCCCTTTCTACCTAAGGAATTCTCTCACTAGGAAAGAAAGTAAGGAAAAAGAAAAGAAGGAAAAGAGGAAGGAGAAAGGGAAAGAAGGAAGAAGAAGACAGGGGAGGAAAGGGATAGAGGGGAAGTGGGAGGAAGGGAAGAGAAAGGGAATGAGGGAGAGAAACGAAAAACCTGGAAGGCATTCTCAAAATGTATACTTATTTCCTTCCCTTCCCAAAGTTATACCCGTCAAGTGTCAGCTGGGTCTATGCATGGTCTGTATCATCAGGGCATATGTGCTGATATTGTCTGAGCAAACTCATCCTGAGGGTAAGACAGATATGCCACTTTGGAAATTTGGAATGAGGATAAGATCATCCTCCAACCTCCCCATGACACTGCCATCCCAGAGCCTCAGATCTCAGCAGGCAATTAAAGCCCCTCACCAGGCATGGGGAGGGACTATTTAGAAACCTGAGAGAAGGGGAACCTGGGTGGCTCAACCAGTTAAGTGCCTGACTTCCGGCTCAGGCCATGATCTCATGGTTCATGAGTTGAGTGCCACATCAGGTTCTGCACTGACAGCATGGAGCCTGCTTGGGATTCTCTCTCTGCCCCTGTCTCGCTCACTCACTCTCTCTCTCTCTCAAAATAAATAAAAACTTAAAAAAGAAACAAACAAAAAACCTGAGAGGTGGAACAGTGTAAATTCAGTTAGCAGTCTCCAAGCCAGGAAACCACAAAGGGCATAGAGTACATATCTCTGCTTTACTTTTCTTGCTGTCTCTTTGAGACAGTTACCTGTAAAATCTGAGTACTAATCTGATCTACTGGAGATGCCAGGCGCAGGGCACTAAGCCTAAGAGGTAAGAAAAATAGTCTGACACTGGCTGTTCTCTTTCCAGGCTCTTTAGCAAGGAATTTCAGAGAGGGCTTGGAAACTTCCTATTAAAGTTCTCAGGACTTCATACTGCTGAAATGGAAATTTCTTCTGAGATAGCAAAGAGATGACAAAACACTGAAACCAGGCTAAGTCCGCCCACACTGAGTGACACATGCCTCTGCAGTAACTGAAATACTTAGCTTCTCCTTCTCCAGCAAGTTTGCAGCCTACTAGGGCTCACCTGGATTGTGATTCCACACTGCCCCACCTGGCCAGGTCCTAGAATAGGATTTATGCCTGAGCAGTTCTCAGTGGTAGAAAGATGAGGTACTACATTTATAAGTGAGGAGCCTCTCTTTTCTTTAGGCTTCCCTTCCCACCAGTATCATCTCCAAAGGGATTTAATACTATCTCCTCTGAACATTTTTTG